TGGCTGTTATGGTGACCAAAGCTCCATACCTGCTTAACTTCAGTGTTGAGAGACTCGACAACCGGCTTGGATTTTTCCAGAAGCAGTTGGGACTCAGTGCTGAGAAAGTGAAGTGCAATTATGTATATTTTTTTATAGAACAAAAAAGAATCACCATTAAGACCCATTCTTGCTTAGAAATATTTAGTTTGTTTGTTTGTTTAAACAAATAATGAAGTGGTTTTTTTTACCTGATTTTCATACTGACCTTTAGCATTTGCAGAAGAGCTACATTTACCATGAATGTTATCATGATTTTTGCTTTCAGACCCGAGATGTTGTGACACGCCTACCAAAACTACTGTGTGGCAGTTTAGAGCCAATTAAGGAGAATCTAAAGGTCTGACACTTTGTTGATTTATTTTTCTTTATTATTTATTTATATATATATATATATATATCTATCTATCTATCTATCTATCTATCAGGGCTCTGAACCGGTTCAAGGAACGAAAACCAGAAATGAACGAAATTTTGACAGGAACAGAAACCGGAAACTAAATCAAATTTTATAGTTCCAAACGAAATCAAAAATTTGAAATGGCCATTAACCGGTTAATAACGTTATTTTATCGTTCCATTTAATATTTGAAATTTGCTTTCAACCAATCAGGAATTCAATTAGTACGGCAAATGTGAAGCTGACGCATCCAACGAGTGAAATGCCCGCTCAACTGTGAACTCATAAATAAGTCGCAATGGCAATGCGTTATACCCGGTTCATACTACACTATTTTAGCCCGATTTTGCCACGATTTGCTTGACGTAGGGTGTCGTGGGGATTCGTAAATGACAATGGGCGTCGGAACGCAATATCGTTTCGGCACGTGTAGTGTGTCATAGTGGACGACAACCGATTCCACATCTGTGATGCTTCACGACAGAAAGACTAGCATGTTTAATTTTTCCGTCGTCCACGACGAGTTCTGTCACATTGGTGACGTTGACCAATAGCAGCACAGAAGCTCTTTCATACACAGGTTTCAAACATGGCAAAACGAAAGAGAGATGTTGGTCCTGCTAGGTGGTGGTCGGGAAGCAATGTGTAGTCTGATATGTTTCTTGTCCACGCCACGACAAGATTTTAGGAGTCAAAATCGTGTAATCTGACACAGTGACTATCGTGACCGACAAAAATATCATGTAGTCTGAACCCGGCATTAAAGTTTATCCAAGGATAGTGTAATGCCGGGTTCAGACTACATGATATTTCTGTCGGTCATGATAGTCACTGATAGTTGATAGCAACACTATCAATGCCTAAACAGAGCCTGCGGTGGTCAGGTGATACAGCGGTCACATGGTGCAAGTCGTAGCTCTCAGAAAACTCCCAGTTCACAAGTTGTAATTACGAGTTCTACGAGGACGTGAACGCTTTTTACAAGTTGGAATCTCATAATTACGGGAATTCCGATATGGCGTGAACCCACCTTTAGCCTATGGTTTTTTTTCCTCTCAAAACGCAATTTTATACAAGTAACGTTAGCATTGTTTAACAATGCAGCAAACATTTTTAAATATCTTGAAAAAATACTTTAATATCTTTAAAGCGTTAACAGATGTAGTTAAACTACATTTGGCTAAAATCTAGAAAAGACGATGCTTTATTGGCTATGATTAAGGACAGTGGGTTAAGATACCAGATTTTCCGTTTTTTTGTTTGCTTTTTTTTTCTTTTTGAGTTATTATTATTATTATTATTATTATTATTATTATTATTATTATTATTATTATTATTATTATTATTATTATTATTATTATTATTATTATTATTATTAT